GTGGCCACTGAAACACAGAATTATGGAATGATTTGGGTTGGAGGGACCTTAAAACTCATCCAGTCCCACCCCCTGCCAGGGCAGGGACACCTCCCACTAGACCTGGTGTCCAACCTGACCTGGAAGGAATTTTTAAGGGGTAAAACAACTTCCTTGTCCATAGGCAAGGACACCTCCCATTAGACTGGGTGTCCAACCTGGCCTTGAAGGAACTTTTAAGGGGTAAAACAACTTCCTTGTCCATAGGCAAGGACACCTCCCATTAGACTGGGTGTCCAACCTGGCCTTGAAGGAATTTTTAAGGTGTAAAACAACTTCCCTGTCCATGGGCTGGTGCCACATTTTGCAAAATCACTGCATCCCCCAACCTGGAAGAGAAAACCCCAAACCAGCCCCAAACCACAGCCCTGTGAACAGCACAGTGTGAAGACAGGGTTGTTTGTGACTGCTCCCTCTTGGACATTTTCTGGGGAGGAAGGAAAATAGTGGGAAAGGAGAGACACCATGAGCTGTGTTCTGCTTGGAGTTACCCAAATCTTTACACCCCAGTAACCCTTGAGGGTCTGGTGTTTGTGGGAGCTTCTCCCAGGTTTGCTGCAGAGGCACTGCTGACTACAGGGAGTTCTTGACAGAGCCAGGATCATAAAATCCTGGAATGGTTTGGGTTGGAAGGGTCCTTAAAGCTCATCTCGTTCCACCCCCCTGCCATGGGTCTGCTAGACCAGGCTCTCCTTGCTAGACCAGGCTCTCCTTGCTGTTCTAATTTCTGCCTTAATCCCTTTCCAAACAGCCAGGCTGGAATCAGAAGGGTTTGGGGTTGTGCCAGCCTGTGCAAGGAGCTGCCCTGAATCAACTCTCCGGGCAGATGGACTCGTGTGGGACTCGTAAAACCCCGAGCACCTTCTTGGCAGAGTCACAGTAAATAAGAGTGAGTATTAAAAAAAAAAATTAAAAGAAAATTGGCCTGATCTCCTGGGAAAGGGGGAGCTCCTGGCCCAGCTCATTCCCTGCAGTGCTGCAGCAGCCCCATGGAAAAGGGTTTAGGGCTGAGCTGGGGGGAAAAAAATCCTCAGTGTTTGGATTGATAAAGTAAAGGGGAAATGGCTCCGTGAGGAGGATGGGACAGAGGCTGTTTTGGGCACTGGGAGATGACTTGGATGTGTCTCTGTGTTCCTGCCATGAGGGTGGTCCAAGCCCTGTCCAACCTGGCCTTGGACACTTCCAGGGATGGGGCAGCCACAGCTTCTCTGCCCAACCTGGGCCAGGGCCTGCCCACCCTCCCAGGGAAGAATTCCTTCCCAGTATCCCATTTAACCCGGCTTTCTGGAAGTGGGAAGCCACTCCCCCTCATCCTGGCACTCCAGGCCTGTGTCAAACTGGGCTGGTGGCACAGATCTCTGTGATCCAGCCTGGGAGGATGCTCGTGGAGCAGGGAGGCTCCTGCCAAAGCTGCCTTTGCCTGGCAAACGTTTGACGCCTCTCCGAGGGGGTGCTGGTGCATCCAGGATGTTTCCATAACTCAGGCACCAAAAATAAGAGAAGACAAAAATAATCCCCAATAAAAACTCGCCTCCTAAAAGCAATAAATAACCCTGAGCAGATGCTGGCTGCTCTTAACCCACTTTTCTACCAGCAGGCCTGGGAGGGAAAGCACCAGCTCCATCTTGCTGGGAAATGGGGCTTCAGCTTCATCCAGTTTTTGGCCTCCCAAATCCAGTAGAGCTCTCCAGGAGCAGGACATCCATGGACAGCACCACGGCACAGGTGAGCTCCCTGCCCAAGGGCACCTCTCCAGCCTCAGGGTTCTGCTGGCAGGGGAAGTTTTGCTCTGGAATAACCAATTTTGACTCCCTCTTCCCTGTGGCTGCCACAGTGATGCTTTTTGAGCTCTGTGAAGTGGGTTCATGGGGAAAAGCCTCCTGCAGCTCGTTTTAAGCAGGGAATCACAGCATGGTTTGGGCTGGGAGGGACCTTAAACTCATCTCTTCCCACCCCTCGCCACGGGCAGGGACATTTTCCACCAGTCCAGGTTGCTCCACCCTGGCCTTGGACACTTCCAGGGATGGGGCTTCTCTGGGCAACCTGTACCAGGGTCTCCCCACCCTCACACCAAGAGGATTTTAGGGCTTTGCATCCCAGTTGGGTTGGGACTCACGGGATCTTACAGCCCTTGGGATGTCCCAGATCCAGCTGGACCCTCCATGCCCGAGGAGGAGAAACCTGTGGGAAGCTGGTTGAGCAGAGTGGGCTGTGCTCTCCTTGCTCCCACCATGAGACACCAGGGTGGGCTCCAACTCCCCCAGAATTTAGTGGCCCCTTTTGGGTCTCCATCTGGAGCCGATGGAAGGGGATCCCTGTTCACAGTAAAAGTGTTTCTGGAGGGGTGCCCTCACCAGAGTAAATTGTTGGCAGCCACGGGCTGATCCTCTCTTCATAAACAAAGGGAAGGAGATAAAAGCAGCAGCAGCAGCAGCAGCTCGAGCTGCCTCCACCTCCCCCCCGGAGCGTCCCGGAACACCCACCCCACATCTGGAGCTCATCGGGGGCAGGATGGGGATGGGAACCAGCTGAGCCTTCCTCCAGAGTGTGGTCCTCGGGAGGGAGCCCAGACAGAGCCCAGTTTGGGCTGGAAGCCTGGCTCAGAGCCAGGGTGGCCCGTGGAATCCCGGGGTGGGATCGTTGGCTGTGCAGGGCCAGCAGTGGGACTCGTTGATCCTCGTGGGTCCCTCCCTGCTCAGGATGTTCCGTGAGGGGGAGAAATGTGCTGGTTTAAAGGTAAACTGGCAGGGGAAATGAACCCAACTCAAAGGAGAGATTATAAATCAGAATAACAATTTAATAAAATAATACAATAAGTACGATTATACAGACAAACAATTGGCTTTAACCCACAAAACCCAAATGTACAACCCAGCACCCTGGGGCATGAACAGAGTGGTGTTCTTTGGGCCCCCTGAGTCCAAAGTAAAAGGAGAGGGGAAAAACTTGTTGGTGAGAGTGGTGGTTGCAGTCTGGTTGAGAGTGGTGGTCTCAGTCTTCCTCTGGATCCCACAAGTGGTTAAAAAAGTCCCAAGACCCCAAGATTATATATCCTCCAGTTCAGGCAGGAATGGCCAGTGCCTCCCTCAGGGCAGGGAGTTCCACACTGGGTGTGAGGACAGGAGCACCCTCCTATCTCCCAGGCCTCTGAACACCCAGTTTACAGCCTGAGGAGTCAGGACTGCCCTGGGCTGATGGTGTAAATGGTCTGTTGGTAACAATTTCTGGGAAATGGCATGGAAGGCTGTAGAATGCACAGTTTTGGGTTACACCCATCCAGTGATGAACTGGTCCCAGCTGTTCTAACTAGGACAAGAAGTGAGGTGGCCACTGTATATTTTTGCTGGCCAAAGCAGCTCCATGTGTCCTCCTGGCCACATTCCTCCCTCTCACCCAGCAGTGGCCAAACACTGGGAAAATGTGCTGCTTTTTAGACCTTGTGTGTGTCCCCTGAATATTGCCCCATCCCTGGCACAAACCCTGCCTGGTTTTGGGGATCTTGGAGGCCTTTTCCAACCTTCTGATCCTACAATCAGGGTGTTTCCCACAGGCTCTAGAGGAAGGTGATCTGGAGATCTTGGAGCAGGCACCTTGAGCTTCAGGAGTTTGTTATCAGCAAGGCCAGTCTGAACCCATTTTTTTACAGCCAAACTGCAGATGGATTTCTCAGTGCATAAAGATTTTAGAGAGCAAGGGAGTTAAAAAAAAAACACCTGCGTGGCCACACTGGAAATGTTTGTATTTTCCATTTGCAAGAGGAACATTTCCCAGTTTGGGGGTTGGAAGCCAGTTCTGCTGAGAAACTCGAGGACAGCGTGGAACAATTAAAAAAATAAACAGGAAAACAGCCCAATTTGCTGCAGTGAATTAATTTATTTCAGGATGAAGTGTCTTGAAATAAATGAAGCGGAGCCCCCTGGTTGGCTCCAAATGAGACCTCAGGAAGCTGCTTGTCTGCTCCATTTTCCCCTTCTAGACCCTTCCCTTGGCTTTTCTTGGGGGAAAATAAAATATAGATGTTGTGTTTACAGGGTGTCACTGCCCAAATCTGCTTTCTCCTGGCGAGCAGAGCCTGCAGCTGGACACCTGGAATCTCCTGGGAGCAGCTCATCCAAAGGATGCTTTCGGAAGGTGTGGCCAGTGTCTGGTAAGTCCCAGCCTTCCTCTTCTCTGTTTTGGGTCATGATCTCACCCCTGGGGGGGATGGGACGTGTCTTTGCAGCCCCTGAGACCCTGGGGGTCCCTGCCAGGGGCTCAAACTTGAGCCCTGAGGGAGGTCAGGGAGCTGGTGGGATGTGCTGTGGAGGGGATGGAAAGCTGCTGCCAGAGGTCACCTCTGCCTCACCCACCTCACCCCCACCAGCCCTTATTGGGGTGCCTGGACCCCACATTTGAGCCTCAGCTCACCAAACCTCATGGAAACAACTGTAATTTTGTCTCCTGCCCCCATCCTGAATGTTTTTCAGCCCTTGGCCATTGTTTGAGGGTTATTTTTTGGGGGTGGAGGCTGACAGCAGACAACTGACAAATCCCCCTTAATCCACCTGAGCTGATAAATCTCCTGGTAAATCCCTCCCCGGCGCTGCTCCCCTCCAACAAACCCCCTTGGCACCATCCATCAGTGTCTCCAGCCCCTGGGTGCCTCCTGGGCCCTGTCTGGGCAGGGAAAGCCTCTCATTTATAAAACTTGGGGACCTCCCACAGCTTCCCCATGACCCCAGCCAGGGGGTCAATGCACTGAGTAAACTGGTTGGGAGGGCAGGTCCTCCTATTTATGTGGAAAGCCATTAGCAGGGAATCTCTTATCTCCTCCCAGTTGGAGGTGGAGGTTTGGGGTGATGGAAGGGCCGTGGGCAGCGTTGGAGCTGCCCCTGGAATGCCCCAACACGATCTGCTTTGCCCTCCATGCTCCTGGCTGGGTTTTACAGCAGGTTCTCAAAGTCATGGGATGAGAGCAAAGGGTGCCCCTGGTTCTGTGAGGCCGAGAAAAGCACATTCCCGGAGCCAGGAGTGTGGTTGTTCCCTCTTTTCCGCTCCTCTATCCAAGCCCAGCACGGGAAAATGTTCCTGTTGGCCACATCCCGGTTGCCTGTGCACCAGGAATGATCCCTTTTAAGCCCAGGCCCTCCCTCACCTCACCCACCAGGGATGTCTCCACGTTCCCAAGGAGCTTTTGTTCACTTTGAGGATCCGGATCTGTTGGGATTGTTTGTGCCAAGACGGATTTTGGAGGTGTTGCTTTTTTTCTGCAGTCGCTGCAACCCAACCCTGACACCATCACATGGTGATTACTAAATCCTGAGAAATGTGGGATCTTGGCTCTTGACCTGGGAAAAGAGTTGATGATTTCAAGGAATGGGCAGGACAGGGACAGCTGGGGGGAGCAGAGCATTGTGTGTTGGGTTGCTACGGGATCAGGGAAGGGAGCACAAGTTTTCTTAGGAAATACAGTTCTTTGTTGTATTTCCAGATATATTTGGGCATGCTGGAGACACACACCATTGCTGATTCCCAAAAAATAACCGGGAAGAACTCTGGATCACTTCAGTGCTATGTGTGAACAAGGGTGGTTCAGCTCTGGGTGTAGCACAAGTAGTTGTTGAGGTGTTTTTCCATGTTCTCCAGAGGGAAATATCACTTTCTTGGGAATACAAACAGCTCCCAACCTTCCTGCACCACTCCCTGCCTCTCTCCTGGGGGCTGGAATGTGTGGGGAGCAGTAGTGGGGCTGCTGGCCTGGGCTCCCCAAGGGGTCAGACCCGTGCCAAGGGGTGGTGTTGCCCTCCACGAGGGCCTGAAATCCTGGAAAAGGCACAGGATCTGTGGGATAATACAGCCAGAGCAAAACCATGGGGGTAGTCTGGGGAGACACAGTGGGGGTGAGGTCTGACCCACTGCAAGGGTTTGAGGGGACGCAGGTTTTGGGGGATTTCTGGTGCTCAGGGCTCCCATCCCAGTCTCCCTGCTGACATCCAAGGGCTCTGGATTGATAAATTGGTTTTTAATGGCTGCATCTTTCTGCCCTGCTGTTGCTGGGCTGTGCCACGAGCCTGGGGGACCAGGAACCCACTGCTGGATGCCAACCAGGGCATGTGGTTACACGAGGAGGCCCAACCAACACTCTCAGCATCCTGGGACCTGTTGTTTGTTGGGGGTTTGAGCCCCTCCCATCTCCCTGATCCCATTCCCTGGTGTTGGAAACCCACACCTGAAACTCAACAGGGTGAAAGCTGCTGTGAACATTTCTTTTATGTCTGCAGGGAAAAAGGCACCATCGTCGTGTTTGGACGAGACCTCCCCATCCCACCCCCTGAAGTGTTTAGGATTCCCACTGGATCCACTTTGCCTATGGATGATCATCTCCCAAAACATCTCTGCTCTTGGAAAGCCTCAACAGAATGTTCTGCAAGAGCTGAGCAGAGAGCAGTTGGAGACCACAGCTGTGAGTGTCCGGGCAGAGCTCCCTGGTGAGTCTTCACAAAGGAATTCTGCTTTCCTCCCACTGCTGTCCCTCTTTGCAGCCTCCCTGGAGCCACTGGAGCAGGGAAGTGCTGTGCTATTCCCTGGTAGACTCTGCAGAAGCTTTTTAAAGGAGTTGGAGGGACACACAGAGATCTTTTTTCAGTTAATTTTAATACAAACATTAAGCTCCTCGATTCCAGCAGAGATCCACTGTGAGCCATATTCCCTATTCCCTTGGAGCCTGTATTTTCCTGGGATAGGGTGACTGATTAGGTAAATGCTGGAGCCCTGGGCTATGGATTTGATTCCTGTGCTCCCTGTGCAGTGGATAACAGGGCCAGGACACAGGTCTGAACATCCCCCTCTCCTCTGACACACACCTTGGCCCGTGTCAGACGTGCAGCACTTCAAACACCACCTAGAACTGGTCCAAGGATGGCCCAGGGCAGAGACTATTCCCAGCAAAAAGCCTGGATGTGGCTGCAGTTGAGGGAGAAGTGGCAGGGATGGGAGCCAAACTGGGTCATTTGGCTCCAGGGACACCAAGGAGTCTCTGGCCTGTTAGTTTAGTGACATCCATGAATCCTCTGTGTTTGCAGATCCATCGTGGTGGATCGACGGTGCTCTGAAGGTGAATGGTCTCAGCCGTCCAACTGCCACAGAATCCCAGGATCACTGAGGTTGGAAAAGATCTCCAGGACCCCTGTGCCTTGTCCCCACCCTGTCCCCCAGCCCAGAGCACTGAGTGCCACATCCAGTCATTCCTTGGACACCTTCAAGGGATGGGAACTCCAAACCTCCCTGGGCAGCCCTTTCCAATACCTGACCACCCTTTTCCATGAGGAAATTCCCTCTAATGTCCAACCTGAACCTCTCCTGGCACATCCTGGGGCTGTGTCCTCTTGTCCTTTCACCTGTTGACAGAGGGAGCTCAGCCCTCACTCTTCCCCACCCTCACCTGGGTGAGACCTCGGCACCCAAAGCTCCGCCGGGTCAGGAACAGCAGGAACCAGGAAGCTTCTCCAAAACAAAGCATTATTTGTCTTCGTATTTCGTGATTATTTCATTCGTCATAAAACAATAACTCTTCCTTGTCATCCATGTTCAGTCCTGCCAAGTCCATTCTGTCCTGTCCCTGCTCCAATCTCCCACCACCTTCGGGACGGAGCGATCCCTCCCCACATGTCACGTCTGCCACTTGGAACAGTTCTCAGTCCACAGCTTTGTGGCCCTTTTCCACGGCTTCCCCAGGCTCATTTGTTTCATTTGCATTAATTAACCCTGCTCAGCTCAAGCTCCTCAAGGCCCTGGTGTTCAGGGACACGAAACTCTGGAATTTTCAATCCTGGCCCGAAGCCTCTTTGGTACTCCATGAATAAATAAAAAATAAAATAAAAAAATAAATAAATAAACAAACAAATAAATAAATTAAAATAAATTTTTGTATAAACATATCATTTATAATATATAACAATAAAAGTTGTAAATGCATGACCATATATATATATATAAATATACCCATAAAAGAGATATATAAGAATATGTAAACCATTGTATCTATATTTAAATTTAAAGAACACACATATTTTTTAGACTGCTCTATGCAGACCTATATATACTGTACAGAAGTAAAAAAAAAAATGCACATTTATATGCTGGATGTACTGTGGTGTTTTATATGTGTATAAATTATACAGATAAAAAAATATACACATATAAAAGTGCACATGTAAAATGTACATAAGCTCTGTACGGTATTTTATATGGATATAAATTATATACTTGCAAAAATTATATATAGATACAAAAATAAATTATACAAAAATTTACACGTGTAAAACTAGACATTAAAACTAGACTAGAATATAAAATTTATCTACTGTATCTGGTAATTTATATGCATATTAAATATATACACTTATATAGTATATATGTATATATACTATAGATATTAATCTAGCATATATATATCATTTATTTATATACAATTTATTTATTTATATAGTATATGTTTATATAGCATATATTTATAGTGTATCTATAGACCGATTTATATTTATATTACATGTATTCATATTTATTTATATACAATATATTTATTTATAAAGGATATATTTGTATATTTACGTGGCATATATTGATAGTGTATCTATAGACCTATTTATTATTATATTATATATTTATATTTATTTATATAGTATATATTTATTTATATATTATATATTTATATATTTGTGGCATATATTTATAGTGTGTCTATAGACTTATTTATATTTATATTATAGATTTATATTTATTTATACACAATATGTTTATTAATATAGTATATATTTATATATTTACGTAGCATATATTTATAGTATATCTATAGACTTATTTATATTTATATTATATGTATTTCTATTATATATATTTATATTATGGTGGCCAAAACAAGATGGCGGCCAAAACAAGATGGCGGCCCAAACAAGATGGCGGCTCCTGTGGGCAAAGGCCTCCCAGGCCTGGTGTCTCTGTGGGAGAACCAGGATCCACTACGAAATACTGGGGGAGGAACCACCTCTTGGTTGAGGAACCACCTCTTACTTGAGGGATTTTTGGATCCATTGCCAATATTGGGGGAAAATCACCTCTTGGCTGAGGAATTTCTGGATCCACTACCGAATTTTGGGAGAGGAATCACCACCACAGTGGTTTGGGATCGGGTTTTTCTGAAGACTTGCAAACTCCACGCTCGTCTCCACTTTTGTTCCTTTTTTCTGGTTGGATGTCAGACTGGGTTTATATTCCCCTCGTTTTTTCCTTACTGGGAATTCATTTGGAGAAGCTCCAACTGGTTTTTCTTACTGGGAAGTAATTTTGAGAAGCTCCAAGTGAGTGAGGGGGGCTGAACGCTCCAAGCATCCCATTTTCTGCATTATTCCCTTTTCCATGACCACAGGGATCCAGAACATCACCTGGGAGCTGGGATTTTTAAGCTGGGGCTTAAATGAAAACCCTTGACTTAAAGCAACAAAAATTTGCCACTTACACCGTGGAAGTTGCCAACCCACACCTCATCTCCAAGAAATCACACCCCAAATCATCCCTGATCCCAGCCCAGCTCATCCCAACTTCACATTTTTTTCCCTGCAATCCTTCATTCTGATTTATTTTCCTTTGTGCTCAGATTTTCCAAGCAGCCTTTTTTTTTACCTTTTCGGTCATTAAACTACATTTTGTGTCCCTTTTTTTTTTTTTAATATTTATTTATTCATTTTTGGACGGGCTGGCAGCGGGATTCGGGCTTTCCTTTGGGTTCCTTCTCCTTGGAGATTTATGACTCTCCAAAGATTCTTCCTAAAATATTTACAAAAGCGGGAATGTTTGACTCGGCCGAGGCTGTCAGGACTCTGGGTGGCACGAGGGGGGAATATAAACAGACCTTTTTTTCCATTCCCAAAAAACCACGATAAACCTTTCCTTCTTTTTGTCTCTTCCCCACTCTGGTTGTTCCCTGTTATCCGGTGCCAAGCCCCGCAGGGCCTTGGCTTTATTTGAAATGGGGGGGGTTTTCCAAGAAATCTGGGAATTCTCATGTGGGCACGGGGTGGTTTGAACCTATTTTTGAGTGAATAATAAAATAAATCATATTTTTCTGGCTGGGATTGGGGCCTGTGCCTTAAATGCTAAAATATGTGTTAAATGGGGGTGATGGGTCTTAAAAGGGGTAATAGGGTGTTAATTGGGGGTAATTGCTGTTAATTAGGGGTAATCGGTGTGTTAACTGAGGGTGGCACGTGTTAAATGGGGACGATGGACCTTTAATCTTATTAATTTATGGGATGGGGTCAAACGATGCTGAAATGGGGCTCAAACAACAGGTTGGCTCTGACTCCTCTCCCGGGGGAATCTCCTGGGAACCAGGAACAGGGAGAAGGGGCTCGGGTTGGATCAGGGGGGTGGGATTGGGGATGTGAGACTGGAAACTGCAACATTTCACCCCAAAAAAACCACTGAGCCCCAGCACCGACCCGAGAGGCAAAACGGTGAGAGCCTGGCCCGGCCTGGGAGGTGTTTTCCTTGTAAAATAGAATAAAATATAAAATAAAATTTAAAAAAAATTAAAATAAAAATGAAATTTAAAAAATAATAAAAATAAAATAATAAAAAAAATGTGTTTTTGACCACAGAGCTGCTGCCCCAGGAACAAGTGGAACTGTTCTTCTGGTTGATCTTATCAAAACCTTTTTTCCCCCCTATTTTTCTTTTTTTTTTCTTTTTTTTTTTTCTTTTCTTTTTTCCTCTTTTTTTTTTCTCCTTTTTTATCTTTTTCTTTTTTTTCCTTCTCTTTGTCCTCTTCCTTTCTTTTTCTTTTTCTTTTTCTTTTTCTTTTTCTTTT